TAGATGATAATCATCTGACATCACAACCGACACCTAAGTGTGTACACTTCTCCTAAGGGGAAGAATTTTTAAATTTTAATTTTGAGCTCCTTACATCTTTCTAGCAAGACTTACTTGAGTGCGTACGAGGACAGCTGACTAGTTAAACTGGTCGGCACCTATCTTCACTGGTCAGATTACCATTTAAACTGATCGGCAACTAGTTTCATTGATTGGATTATCAGTTAAACTGGTCAGATTGCTAGTTAAACTGGTTGGCTCCAAGTCAAACTGCTCGGACTTGATGAAGATGGCGTTGCTTAGCGGATATAAGGTGCTCGGGGACTAGCTGTGGGGGGTATAACCCCAGGTACCCACGGCGATGTACATGGGCTGCACCATTAGGGGTGGTCCAGCCCATGAGATCAAGGAACGCGGCGCATGGCATTGGTCGGCGTGCACCGCAAGTCTTCACGAAGCTATCTCGAAGATGAAGAAAGATATGGTCGGATATGCTAGAGATTGTATTCCATACAATGCTTATTACGTAATCGACCAGATTTACATTTAACCGACCTATAACCCTACCCCCTAGACTATACAAGTCGGGTAGGGGACCCCCTCAAAATCATCTCATTACCTCATTATTATTCCATCGCATACACAATCAACACAAACCAGCAGAACACAGGACGTAGGGTTTTACGTCGTATTGACGGCCTGAACCTGTCTAAATCTTGTCTCTATTGCCATCTAGTTCCTAATCACACGCACCTCTACCATACAATCTACCATCGAGAGTATAATCCTTGGTGGACTATCAATGATATCCCATCGACAGTATGTTGAAGCAATGATACATAATAGCTCGTTGAAGCTAGTGTCGGACTAGCCATGCCGAGCCTTCAGCATCAGCATCTGGAGGTTAAAACGCAGCACCGTCCACTGCTTCGGACAATCCTTATAGAGGGGATCAATTGCCGCCTGCTTCATCTCTTTCAAATTATCTAGCCACCATGTGCTCCCAAACAGAACGTCGTTGTGATCGAGGTGATTAGCTATCTCCTCAAAAAGCTCCACATTCTTGGGCTACATCACAGCAGTCGGCTGCCAATCCCATCGCCACCCCCACCGTGGTCATCGGCCATGTCTTGGAGCGGATCATCCATAGTGATGTAATCATGATCTGTATTGTTGCCAGCAGCAGTGCCTTGCTCGCCGACTGCTGTTGCTGATGATGGGGCTTGTCCTCTATCATGTTCTGCAGTCACCGCCACTCGATTCTGCTTCGAATTCGTCGTGAAACTTCCACATGGTGTAATCCTTTACGAAACCAAACCGGACCAAGTGAGATTGAACCACGTCATCTTCCTGGGCAAGCTTGTTCTGGCAGCGATTACACGGACATATGATGCGCATCCACTTCAGACTCAAACGATGCTTTTTCACAGTGGCAACAAACTTTTTCACCTAAACTAGGTAAACCAGTGTAATCCTCGATGTCCGGTACATCCATTCTTCCCTGTCCATGCCCGTGAACCTTGCACTCATAGCGAAAAAGGCATATAAGCAGAGTAGTATGAAAAAATGCAGCCGGGCAAGCTCTAGATCTGTTTTTCTCTCTCCTCCATGTAGATCTACATCTAGATCTAGAGAAACAGCACCCAAATGATGAAAAAGGGAGAAAAATGAGGATCAGAGGGCATGTAGCAACCTGTTGCGGTGCCCTCCTTCAACAAATCCAAGGGCAAAACTTCTCCCCCTAAGGAATGCTCAATTTCGGGGGTTTTGGAGCTCAAAACCCGCAAAAATTGGAGGAGAAGCCGTGAGGAAGAAGGGTGGGGCGGCCGGACGCTGCATTTATAGCCCCAGGATTAACCGAGGCAGGCAAATTAAGCGCAACCGCCATGGTTAAGCGTATATTAACCGAGGCGGTTGCATTGTACCAACCGCCTCCATTACTGGGTTAACCGAGGCAGGCAGCCTTAAGAGCCCGCCTCGGTTAATAAAGATTAACCGAGGCGGTTGTTTAAAGGTGACCACCTTGGTTAATATATTAACGGAGGTAGTTGCATTAGGACAACCGCGTCGGTTAATCGTTATTAACCGAGGTGGGCTCGTTATGATGCCCGCCTCGGTTAAGGATTAACCGATACGGTCGCTGGGCCGGCTGCCCGGCCACCGAATAACGGAGGCGGGCAACCAGCCCGCCCGCCTCGGAGTCCCAATTCAAAATGCCTCCTAAAAGTTTTTGTGTAGTAGTGATAGTAGCTTGTCACAGCTTCATCTTGCACACGTGAACCGAGCAAACACGCTAGCCAAATTTGCGCTCGTACGCTGGACAGCTGCAGCGCGACCGTAGGGGGCACGGTCGTCGAGGCGTGGCACGCTGGGGAACGACCAGTGGGGGCAGGGCTGCACGGGTGCATCCTGATAGGGCACAACCTTCCTAAGGATGGCAACAGGGCAGTTTCGGGTCCAGCGATTTCGGTTTTGGGTATAGTTTTTCGCCCATGGATTTTTGGGTTGGGATACCCGAAATTTAGCGGATTTTGGGCGGATTTTCAATTTAACTCGCGGATCAGAACAAGGCAGCCCACTAGTAGCCCATTAACAACCCTAGGTATATAACTCTCAAAGACTCAAACACCCTCAATTCCTCTCCCTCACCCCTCACCCGATCACCCACTCACTTGATGGTGCACTTAGACAGGACTCTCGATCTCTCCCTCTTGGACCCACGCCCACACCTCGCTACTCGTGACCCCACGTCCGCCATCCCCACCTCTCTAGCTCTGCAGCATACAGCAACCTCTCTCTCTCTCTCTCTCTCCTTCTCTCTATTGGTGTCCGACTCACGCCCTCTGGCCCTCACCTCACAAAGACCGCAACAGCTTCCTTGAGGCTCGACTACACCCTCGCGTCCCCATAGACTACCGCCTCGGCACCTTTGCTGCCACCCACCACCCACCAATGGCTGCTGGGCGTGCGCGCCCAGCCGGGGCCACCCACCGGCGCACCCAGCCGTGGGCGGAGCCGAGGGCCGAGGAGACGGCGCGCGGCCACAACGGGCCATACGGTGCTTGACCGCGCCTACACGGGGGCAGGCGGCTCACAGGACGAAGCAGAGGCGAACCAGTTGCTGTAGTATTCTCTTAGGTTTTGGATAATCCGTTAAGTTTCGGGGATGCGTGGGTTCTAGTTTCGAGGATGAATTTGTACCCGAATCGGTGTTCGGGGCGGATTCGGATCTTTATTTTGGGATTCGGTTTTGTGTGCGTAGGGTCTCTACCCGATCCGAATCCGCCCCGTTGTCATTTCTAAGCCTTCCAGGCACGAGCCAAAGAGCTCGATGAAAAAAGACGACCGAAGAATAGAGGGAAAAGGATAGCTAAGGGCATTAGGGTCTTTTCATTCTCTTAGTCTACCGTGTGAAACTGTTTTTTTACAAAAGGGGTCACCAAAACAACTTTAGTTTCTCCGAGAAAGCTCATCGTGAAGCTGAAAATAAAAAAAAACAAGCTTCACTACTGAAGCTGAGCCTCGCCGAAGGAGGCCTTAGAAATAGAAAACCAAAACCTCTTTCAAATATATTTTGACGTGGAATATAGAACGCGTACCTGTGGGATCTTACGGACGTGGAAATAAAGGGCATCTGTTAAAAAGAGAACTCTAATACTGTCTCCAATGAAGACACCCAAACCCAAAATGGGTCTGGCACAGTACTTTGCCAAGCCGAATCCATCATCCAATAGCAGACCCAAAGACCCGACGCATTTTGCCTGCTCGCCCAAACGCTACGCAAAAAAGCGTCTCCTCTCTCCTCGCTACGTAGATCGCCGAGCTCGCTACGGGCGCCGGCGAGGCTAAGCTCGCCAGCCACATACAAGCGCGTGGCCGGCCGAGCTCACCCGCACCCGAGACGGGGCGGAGCTCGCCCGCCGCCGGTGTTGGAGGAGGAGCGCGTGGCGAGGCGGGGAGCGGCCGTCAGGGAGCGGGGCCAGGCCGCCGGAGCAGGAGGCCGCGCGCGGGGGTGGACGGCCACGGGGCCGTCGGAGCGGGATCCGGCACGCGGGGCCGTCGATCCGCCGGAGCTGGACGGCCACGGGGCCGCCGGAGCTGGATCCGGCCGCGGGGCCATCGATCCGCCGGAGCTGGACGGCCACGGGGCCACCGGAGCTGGATCCGGCCGCGGGGCCGTCGATCCTCCGGAGCTGGACGGCCACGGGGCCGCCGGAGCTGGATCCGGCCGCGGGGCCGTCGATCCGCCAGAGCTGGAGGTGCCCAGGGCGGCGGACTCGCCTGAGATGGGAGAGGGAAGAGAGAGAGAGGAGCCGTGGTGGAGAAAGAGCGCCACCCGGTGCTCCCCATCCTGGGCGCGTCATGCTCCAAGGCCGTCTTTGAGAAGGAGCGCCGCCAGCCCGAAGAAGGAGCGCCACCGCAGCCAGGCTCCGGCCGCCCGTGGAGGGGAGGGGAGAGGGCGTCGGGCTGGGGGCGCCGCCGGGATGGGGAGGGCAAGGGAGGGGATGGGGCGCCGCTGGATGGAGGGGACGGGAGAGGGCGTCGGGCTGGGGGCTGGGAGGGGAGGCGACGTCGGGCTGGGGACCTGGAGATGGGTGAGCGGTGGAGAGAGCGAGGAAGAAGAAGCTGATTTGCGTTGAGGCCGTTGGAGAACGTAAGTTTTAGGTAGGCACCCATTCTACCGTGTATCACCTAAATCAGGCAAATGGGTGCCGTATATAGGTCTCATGGTTGGAGATAGTCTAAAGCAGGATGTGGAAAAAGGAAGCAATAATGTGGAACCTTGACTCCACTAGCAGTCATCAGTCCAAGTCATCGTCCAGGTCCGCAATCGCCATCCATGGTGACGCCGACGTCGCCACGCGCGACGAAGTCAACCGCTGCGGCCCGCCACTACAGTTGACTCCATCGACGACTTCGTTCTCCTCCACTCCCTCTCCCTCTTCCACCCAAGAACCAATCAACAGCAGCGTCCACAACACGCTGCCGCCGGCCACGCGATGGACACCCCTCTGGTCGCGCTGATCGTGGTCGCCGGGACCTCACTCGCCGTGGCGGTGCCCTGCCTCCTCCTCGCCTTGCTCTGCCGCCGCCACAGCAGCAGGAAGAGCCAGCGCTGCTGCTCGGCGTCGGCAGCGGCGTCAACGCTCCCGGTCTCCGCGTCCGCCGGGACGACGCCAGCAGGCTGCCCGTCGTGGTCCTTTTACGGCACGACCGCGGACGCCTCGCTCCAGAAGCTCTCACTGGCCGATCTCGCGGCAGCCACGGGCGGCTTCTCCCCGGACAACACCATCGGGGACGGCAGCTTCGGGTTCGTCTACCGCGCCGTGCTCCCCGACGGCGCCGCGGTCGCCGTCAAGCGCCTGTCCGGCGACGCGACGCGGGCGCCGGTAACAGCGAGTTCCGCGCCGAGCTGGGGGTGCTGGGCAGCCTGAGCCACCCGAACCTCGCGCGCCTGCTTGGGTACTGCGCCGCCGGCCGCGACCGCATCCTCGTGTACGAGCTCCTGGAGCGCGGCAGCCTAAACGCCTGGCTCCACGGCGGCGACGCCGAGGACGGCGGCGCGACGGGAACGCTCCCCTTTCCCGCGTGGCTCCGCGTCGCGCTCGGCGCCGCCGCCGCGCTCGAGTTCCTGCACCATGGCCGGCGCCCGCCCGTGCTCCACCGCGACGTCAAGTCCAGAAACGTACTGCTTGGCGAAGGCTTCGAGGTCAAGCTCGCCGACTTTGGCCTCGCCAGGATCGTCAGAGGAAGCCCTGCCAAATCACACGTCAGCACGCAAGCCGCCGGAACCGCCGGGTAAATATAATTCACTATTCACCATGTATATATAATATATATAAATATATATTTCTTACATGAACATTATACATGCATATAGACAATTCAAAAGATTGCTTATTAGCCCTTTTCTGATCTAGACCACAATCATAGATCGTTAGAAGAAATTGCAAATTGACAGTTACGGAACCAATTAGCATGGTCGAAGGTAAAATGCAGTAGCAAACTAAATGCTTCAACATAAATTTCGTCTTCACAAAGATTCAAATATTGGGCATGATAGATGTTTGTGGTATATCAAACAGGTATGTGGCACCCGAGATATGGGACGGCGTGGGCGCGACTGTGAAGGCAGACTTGTACAGCTTCGTCGTGCTGGTGATCGAGTTAGTAACTGGGCTCCGGCCAAGTTGGCCAATGAAGGCCAGCAAAGGCGAAAAGGAGGTGGATCTGGTGGATTGGGCAAGGGAGAAGATAGGTGAAGGCCAGGCGTCCGAGATCCTAGACCATCGGATGGGCATCCAAGCGCAAGGGAAGGAGATGGAGGAGGCCAAGGGGCTCTTCGAGATTGCACCCAGGTGTATCGATAGTGCTGCCAAGAACAGGCCCACCATGGAGGAGGCTGTGGCCATGCTCAACAAGATTTGAATTGGAGGATACGAAATCAAGCGCTTTACTTAGTGCTCTAATAACGGTATGATTATCGTGTTGGATGATCAGGCTTCAGAAGAAGCTGAACGCAGAAAAAAGCTGAAATGTTTTGCGTTGTCTTTGCTTGGTTTTTGCTCAAAGGGAAGGGTACTGCATGCAAAAGGCCATGCCGTCCTGATGTGCTTACCATAGGTCGCGACAAGACATGCATATTTTCTCCACAAATAAATTTGCATAACGTGGCAGAAATTTGGAGATACATTGATGTACCACTCCGTGTTGTTACTAAAATTCGAGTCTTTGGGACTCTCTCCGTTTTTGGGAATGAACGTGTCTGTGCCGGTTGGCGTTAATATTGGTAGATTTGTAGTGATATGCACCCTCCATTATAAATTATAAGACGTTTTGGCTTTTTCTAGTGATGAGGACAAGACACTTATAGATATGCGCATGAAAGTTAAAGACAAGGTGAGCTCATTCCTATGTTTGCTCAGTGATACAACTAAGAATTTGTTGCTACCTAATGTTGTTGCTTTCAATATACTTAGGAACAATAACGATAATGATGTAAATTTAGAAAGACACTTCCTATGGCCTCTACAACAGATCTGACATGGATACAACATGCACGGAATCGATCTTGGAGTGCAAATTCATCGAAGCCCAACATTCGTTCGTCGGCACCCCAACACCTATGGTCAATGAGCACTTGGTGGAAAGCTTGTTTGATAAGCTCTCAAATGGATCTAGTCCAACATTTGTTTTGACAAAAATCTAGTCCCACATGTTGTTTACTTAGTTGTGTATTTCTTTTTTCTGAAACAGTAGTTGTGAACTTCACCGTCTCTCTCTCTAGTCCATATATGTGAGGAAATAATGTACGAATTTTTTGTTACAAACCTGCAAATTAAATGGTCCTAAGAATCTCATCTCTACCTTGTTTTTTTAAAACTGTCAAGGGGAAGAATCCGGACCTGAATAGTATTGATATATCATCAACAACCTCGTTTTTGGGTGAACAAGGTAAAAACCCTTTCGTCCGGTTAATTTTAGAAAACCAGACTAAAACCATAGAACAGCTCCAGTGAAGGAGCGAGCTTGTGGCATAACCACAAATAAGAAAAAACAAAAACAAATGCCCCAGTACAAAGGTCGAACCGTGGCTTAACCACTAATAAGAAGAGAAAAACTACAACACCACCAAGGCACAGGAGCGCTTCGATGATGCCTCGAGGGAGGTGAATGACGCGAGAACGTATTTATCGCTAGCCAAGCAGGTGATTAGCGAGGCTTTCGCCCGAGTCTTGTGCCGAGGAGGACCGCAGTTAGCCAGGAGGCAGCAAGGTGTGCTTCAGCGACGCATTGAAGAAGGAATTTCTACCCGACGTCGTCCCTCGTCGCTGGCCCAGTGTAGAGCTGAGCTGTACATTCGCCCAGATCCCTCGCAAGTGCTCTCGCAGACGGCGCAACAAACGGCATTGTCGCCTCATAGGGTCTCTAGGGCTGACGCCCCAACACTGCCACCACAATATCACCGCCACCATGGGCACAGGCATGGTCGATACTGTCGTACCCAACCCGATAGGAGGCACAGTGGGAGGGCACCCGCGGACATGCAGCCCCGCAGCCGGGTCGCTCGCGGCCAAACCGCGTGCACCGTGCACGCATGTGAAGAAGAACACCGCACTGCTGCCAGAGCACCATCTGTGCCTCAAGATCAAGAGGAAAATAGTGGTTCCATCTTAGGGGACACCGAGGGTCACGCTGGTAGAGCTCGGCGCTGGTGAGTCAACGCACGAGAGCTCTGTGATGTGGGGGCGCACTAGGAAATGTCCTCGCCTAGGCCGAGTGTGGGTTGGTGGGTTGGGGGGCGCTGGAACATGCGGAAACCAAGCGCTGGTGGGTCGACGCACAGCATCCCGCTGCCCCGGCCGCCGCGCCCCGGAAATGTGGGGGTGGGGGGGGGCTCGCTCACCAGCAGGATGGAGATGACAAATCCGGGCGTGGGGAAGCCAGATCCACCCACACCGGCACCGGATGCACCGCCGGCTGGCTCCCTCATCCCTGCCTTGTAACCTAATTTTTTGTTGAACTGGATCGAGTTTCTAGCAACTGTAATATGTGCTGCTATACATATGTGCTTTAAGATAACACCAGTGTAATCAGGTCACGGCTTGATGTTGTGATGTACAGTACCTGTGATTGCTGCCGGGAACTCAGATCTCTTGATTGAAAAACTATTTCTTGCCCACCAAGCTCCTTGCACAATAGTTTACTCCAGTTTCTTTATTTTTCCTTTATCTGGTGCAACATGTTTCTGCTCTAGCTACTAGGTGCTTGTTACATGCTTATATAGCTACAAGCTTGTTGGCACTAGTACTTATACTACACGCTCTTGTGTTCTTTTCTCTATTTATGTGTGTTTCTTTTGCTTCCCCTCTTTTATATTCTATTATAATATGCTGAGGCACTGACATATGCAATGATGAATTCAAATTTACCACACTCTCTTATGCTGAAGTAGCAGCTATGATGATCAAATGCCCGGATAGTTATATGCTGCTAAACAAGGATGGCTTGTACCATACAAAAGCAACCAGTTTGCAAGCATTGTGCTGATAATGGGGCAAATCTGAGCAAGAGTAGTATATGAAATTTTTTGTAATCAACAATTTTAGACTTTACTTCTTCCTATGATCAACAAACTCATGTACTTTTCTTCTTCTTTTGTATTCAAGGTTTTTGTACTTTTCTTCTACTTTTGTATCTCAGAAACTGATGTAGTTGACAAACATATGTAATTGGCAATAAATATATGGATTTCAATGAGTTTACTTGTGAAATGGTCATAATATGAGATGTATATGTGTTGGGACACAGATATATGAGTAGGCGAAGGTCCAGTGTTACCTTCTCACCAAAGAACTAGGACCTGCAAAAGCTCTTCTTCTTCCTCAGGAGGGAGGTTTGCTGCGATGGTGATCTTTCTGTCGAGCCAGGCTGCGTCAAGTTGTACCAACTTTGTCTCTTCTTCCCTTTGAAGGTTGTCTGTCCCTTGGGCCTATCCGGAGGCTCTGTGTAATGTGCCTTTGCTTGACTGCACGGAGTTGATGTTTCTCTGTGGTTTGTAGATTGCTTTCTCTATATTTCGAACTTCATTCTGACTACCATGTATGGTGATGACGCAATGCAATGCTGGCATCTTCATACACAAGTATCCTATGTGGATGGCTGCGTTGAACTTTTTGGTGAAACCCTACCAAAGATTGCATTGTAGGGGTAATAGAAGTCTACAACGTCGAAGATTATGTATTCTGTTCTTGCATTTTCTTGGTTGCCGAAGGATACTGGGAGTGAGATTTTCCCTAGTGCGTCGACCCTTTTGCCTCTCAAACCAATCAATGGTGTGTCCGAAGGCTGTAGTTGGTTTCTGTTGAGCTCCATCTCACTACTAAAGCAGACCTACCACGGTCGGCTCACAACCCCCCCATCGCAGCCGTATTTCGGCCTCAGCAGTAACCACTCGTTGGTGATAGTCGAAGTCATCACGGTCAGCTAACAACCGACTATGGATGACCTCACCACTGCCGCATTGGTTAATGATCTGCCTATGTCGTGGCTAACATCACAGTCGTTTGGGCACATGAACCGCCTATGTAGTGGTCACCAACACCATCACCTTGTACTACGACCCGACTATCTGTAGTGTGAATTCACCGTCGCTTCGGTGGCTGAGATGTTTGCGTTGAGGTAAACATCACTGTTGCTTGGGCATATGAATTGTCAGTCCAAAGGTCATGGTCACCATCGCCTTGCAGCACGATCCACCTTTGATAATCCTTTAGTCAGTGTCGGGTTACTAAACGATTCGGCGGTGATACACTTTTGATCCCTGCCGCATGATACATGTAACGACCCAAAATGTCGTTCCAATTTGAACCACGACCCCTAGCATTGAAAATTTACTATGGAAGCTGTGAGCCTAAGAGCTTATCTACCTTCAGAGATCCCTGGAGCTTTGGATACGTGTGATTATTAAGGATTCACCAACAAAACCTGAGAAATCTCTCTGAATGGACAAGGCCAGGTTGGCAAGTAAAGAGACGGAAAACCCTTGCTTCAACCAAATGCACCTATTGACATCATCAACACCATCTCAGGTTAGCAAACCACTTTTGGAGTGTCCGTCAATTAGCCCACTGATTTATTAAGTAAGTAACCAAAGAACCTGAGAGCACCCAGTTTCCACCGGAGTGTCCGTGAAATACCACGGAGAGTGCGTTGAGTAATAAACCTGAGTTTTTAGAAAACCTGAGAGCTCCAAGTTCTTATCGGAGTGTCCGTCAATTAGCACGGACTATCCATCAAACACCAAGCCACAGAAATGCCTAAGTCCTAGACCACCGAAACATTCTGTGATCTTCAACGGAGGATCCGTCAACCCATCCTAAGCCAAAACAGAGCCAAGTCACCTCAGAGTTCAAACCAGCGGAGTGTTCACCAACCATAGCGGAGTTTCCGTCAGTTAACAGAGAGTGTGTAGTTGTTTAGACAACCAACCCAAGAGGTCAACAATACTAGAACCCTTTAGATGTCAAATAATGCAATTGTAGAGCCCTGTTAGAGGTCTCTTCCCAAGTTCCAAATCCAAGCCTCAATCTTTGTCTCTATCTCTTGGTCGGTTATCTCCAAATCTTCTTATCATCTTTTCAGGATTTGTTATCAATGTGAGGAACGTGTATAAGTCATCATCATTAGCTTTGAAAGTTTGATCGGCATAATCAGGCAGGCACCCCACTACTATGAACCCTATTTTGGATACTAATTATCTTGTATCATTATGAGTTTGCATTTCATGTTAATATGGATAACCACTTAATTAATCTTGCTTATTAACCAATCTAGAACTACACTTAAGCAATTAGAGCCTTTCACTTAATCAATGGGATGGTAATGCTTAATTACTTACTTGCTTAGATTCGTTAGAAGTCAAGTTT